GAATAAGGCAGGAAAGGTTGCTACCAAGGGGAAGGGTGGTCTCAAGACTAACGAGGCTGGCCCTTCCGGCCAGCGCCAGGGTTTTCAGAAGACCAACTAGGGTGTGGGTACCTAGCTGGCTTGGTAGATCGAGGGGGTGAAATTATTGCCTTGCATGATGAGAATTTGCTAAGGCTTGAGAAACTTGCTAGTGGCAAAATTTCTTGTGTGTTTGCACCTTCTTTGAGTGAACCTTTTTGTTTGCCTCTCAATTGCACCCACTAGAGGAAATAATAACTGAAGCTTTAAGAGATAGCTTTGTTGCAATTTGGAATCATTGCCTTCGTTTATGGAAGTTGTGGGTCGTTGCACCCAGGAGCGCCTTCTAACTTCAGTTGGATTGGTGTCTCGCCCTCCAAATGGCGGTAGTTTTCACATGTTTAAAGGATGGAGTATCCTTGACGAACGGAAAAAAGGGCACCATTATGGTGGTCAAACGCCCACGCATACGGACGTAGCAAGCACAAGGTCCGGGCATATTGTTTGCCTCCAACCAGCATTGAGGCTTGCCCAATCCGACCCAAGAACCAACAAAATCTGTTGTTTGCCCGTCGCATCGATGGAAAGTTTGCCAAGCTTCTTGTCGATAATGGGCCAACGTCCTCACTTATTGGCGAGAAATGGGTGGACCAATATGGTGTTCTTATTGAAGGACCATCGTGCCCAATTCGATTGGACGATGATTGCGTTACGGTACCACAAAATTATTCGTGTATTCGCCCTAACTTTGCTGGCACGGGTGGAGCTTGTCCTAGGAATGTATTCATTGCAACCCAATGAAGTTATCTTGAACTTTCAAGACAACACTCTATCGCTTATGAACGGTGACGAGAACGTGTAGTGGAAGGTTCCTGCACATGATACAAGAAGCTACGGTCCAGATGCAAATGTCTCTGATGTGAGCTTTGAGTATTCATCCAATTCAAAGGATATATGAAAGAGGCAGAGACTCTGTACATTGTCCACATTGACCCCGATGGTGCTCTTTCACAAGTCATTGAGGATTTTCCTCCTCAAATGAAAGCGTTGGTAGAAGAGTACAAGGAGGTGTTTGAGCCTATCCCTGAAGGCATACCTCCAGATCGCGCAGTCGGACATACCATTCTAGTGGAACCAGGGAAGGCTCCACCGTTTAGACCTTGTGTCGCCTCAGTCCAGCTGAGTACGAGGAGGCTAAAAGACAAATCAAGGATTATCTCAAAAAGGGGTGAATTGAGTCGAGCGCGTCCCCCTATGGTGCTCCAATCCTGTTCGTTCATAAGAAAGGAGGTGGCCTATGCATGTGCGTTGACTACCGAGCCTTGAACAAGATTACAATCAAGAATAGATATCCGCTTCCTTGGATTGAAGATCTATTTGATCGTCTGCAAGATGCACAGTGGTTTAGCATGCTGGACCTTGCTCAAGATTATCACCAGCTGTGTATAACAGACAAAGACGTGCCGAAACGGCCTTTCGGACGCCTTTTGGCCATTTTCAATGGCGTGTGCTAAGCTTTGGTTTGACCAATGCTCCTGCATCCTTTCAGCGAGCAATTAATAATGTGTTCCATAAGGCACTTGCTCAATTCGTGCCGTGATACCTTGATGATATCCTGGTATACTCAAAAACCAAAGTTGAGCATACTCAATGCTTAAATTGGATGTTGGGGAAGCTCCGAGAGCACAAGTATTGGGCACAGCTTTGGAAATGCCATTTCGATAAGCGCGAGCTCGAGTACCTTGGTCACATCGTTGGCAACAATGGACTCAAGGTTGATCCCAAGAAGGTGAGTGCGGTCTAGGAGTGGCCTTTTCCCCAAGATATGGGACATGTCCGGTCATTCCTTGGACTTGCGAATTATTTCCGTCGCTTTTTGGAAAACTACTCTACTATCGTCGCGCCACTCACGGCACTAACTTGCAAAGGTTGGGCATGAGATTGGACCTCCGAGTGCCAAAAGGCCTTTGAGGAAGTTAAGCGACGATTGAAGAGCGCTCTTGTACTGGTCCCGCCAGACCCAGGCAAGCTATACAAAGTGGTCACCGATGCTTCGACGGTAGGCACTGGAGCAATGCTCTTACAAGAAGGACGCCTTGTGGCATTTGAGAGTCAAAAACTCTCCCCGGCGGAGCAACGTTACACCACAACTGAGCAAGAACTACTTGCTATGGTATACGTGCTTTGAACATGGCGGTGCTACCTAGAAGGTGTGGACTTTGTGGTCATGACAGACCATTGTCCTAATACCTATTTCTCTACGCAAGCCACACTCACCCGACGCCAAGCTCGTTGGGCTGAACTCCTCTGTGGGTTCAATTTCAAGATTCGTTATCATGAAGGTTCCATGAACCTGGCTGACCCCTTCAGCAGACAGCCGATTGGGGAAGCAACAAGGCTAAGTGACACTGAACATGCGACCATTTTCGCAGCCTGTTTCAATGTCCTCGCCGTGGCAAAAGTGAGTGAGATTACCGTCAGTGGTTTTCTGAAACGAATCCATGCAGGTTATCATATCGATTCCTGGTTTCATAACCCACAGAACATGAAGGCTCTCGTTTGGGAGCATGAGCTCTGGTGGCATGACAAAGAGATCGTGGTAACACACGTTGGCAATCTGCGGAATGACATTTTGACCGAAGTGCATGCCACTCGTTACAATGGTCACCTGGGAATGAACAAAACCTGGTGGACACTGCGTGATGTATACTGGTGGCCAGGGGTGGGCAAAGATGTCCAGCACTTTGTTGTGCATTGCGATGCTTGCGCAAGAAACAGACTGGACAAGCAAAAGCTTAGCGGTCTGCTTCAACCGCTCAAAATCCCCAATAAGCCTTGGGGAAGCGTGTTATTGGGTCTCATCACCGACCTTCCCAAGACACGAGAGGGTCATACGGCAATCCTCGTGTTCGTGGATTGCCTGACCAAGATGGTGCACTTCGTGCCCACGACAAGTATCGGCGGAGAATATGGCTAGGTTGTTTGTGTCGCACGTTTTCCGCTTGCACGAACTACCTCGTGTTTTACTCTCCGACTGAGATCCACGCTTCACAAGCCGGTTATGGTAGGAGGTGACTTGGACACTAGGGATGAAGCTCAAGATGTCGTCTGCCTTCCATCCACAAACGGATGGACAGAGAGAACGGACAAATCGCACCCTTGAGCAGATGCTTTGTTCATTTACAAGCCCAATGAAGGATGAATGGAATGAGTTGCTGCCCTTGGTTGAGTTCGCAGTCAACAACTCGGTGCGTGATTGCACACGAGAGAAACCATTCATCTTCAAATTTGGTCGGCATTCCACAACACCTGCAATACATGAGATTGGTGGGTTGAGGATACCTACCACAAAGGACACTGTTGCTCGGCAACAAGAGGGTTTGATGTCGGCCCGTTGCTGGCTCAAGCTTGCCCAGCAACGGCAGAACTCCTATGCTGACATGAAACGCCGGGAGATCTCCTATGAGGTGGGAGACAAAGTGCTCGTAAGTACAAAAACATTCGTCTTAAGATCCCTGGTGCACGAAAGTTGTTCCCTCGTTGGATTGGGCCTTTCGAGGTGATCAAGCTTGTTGGTGCCGTAGCTTACAAACTTAAGCTACTGTACCTAATACATTGCAGATTCACAATGTCTTCCACGTGTCTCTGATTAGCAAGTTCATTGCAGAGGGCAAGTACTTGCCACCACCAACAATTGTCATGGGGGAGGAACTCTATTATGAGGTCGAACGGGTGCTCATGCATCACGATCGACAGCACGGCCGCAAGACAGTATGAGAGTTCCTAATTAAGTGGAAAGGCTATGGGCTTGAACACAATTCATGGGAGCCAGAAGAGTATTTGACTAAAACAACTGTTCAATCTTATCTGGAAGACCTGGCTCAGCGCGAGGTCCTACATCCAGTGGATGGTGTTGACCCTAGTCATAGCATGACTCGTCGTGCTCGTTCCATTCGTCCCCAGAAGCACTCCATGGCAACGAGGACGTGCAGGCGTGCCAGCTGGAGGGGGAGGAGCGTAACATATCACCCTACAAACCGCCCCTTCTAGTCTAACTATCGCGACTAATCTCGACGTTCCCGGTTTCCCCTTGCGCGAACATATTTGGAATGCTAGGTTGGATTGGATAGGTTTAGGATTGAAGGTTGGGAAGATAGGTTTGGGTGATAGGGTTGGAGTGGTGGTTACCGCTCAACCACCAAGTGACAGGCTGGATTTGGGTTGGGCAGCAATTGTTCCTATTGGCTGCAATTCCAACCAATGCACATTTAGCAACCCAAGATAAGTTTGCACACCTCAGCAAACTAGTTCCAGCTCACTACAAATTCCTTGGTTGGGAAAACCTAACCCATGCCACATGGGCAAGGCCCACAATTGGTTCACCACCTCATCGGCCATGGAGGAGGTGGTTGCACCCCAAGGGATCTAGGAAGTTGGAGGGCCCTTGGAGCTCATTCTTCACTTTCCTTCCCCAATAACTCAATATTGGAAGAAGGATCCTCCTCCTCGCTAAGTCCTCCAACTGCTATCTCTACCATTAAAGACTTAGCTAGATCTTGGCTATTTCCTTGTCATCTCCCAGTTTCCCTTGATGTTTAGGCCTACTCCTAGTTCACATTAGGAGCCCTCTATCCTCTTATTCCGCTATTTATAAACTGGTGCTGCTATAAACCGGTGGATGTTATAGAGAGAATCGTCCAAAGGTAGATCGAATGAGACCTGCCATCCTTCCAGCCTGACGGCTGGCTGCAGTGTTGTGTGATGTCATCATATGCTATCACATTCTGTCTGCCTCCCATCCCATATTTTTTTCAACTTGCATGTGTGGTTTGAACGTGTGCAAGAATTTGTGTGTGATGTGTTCTGGAGTTTGGGAATGTGTTTTGTGTTATTTTGTTTGAGCAGGTTTTTTGTGATGATAGATCTTGAGAAGATCTTTCCGACGCAACGAGAATCCCTTCAATCGGAGCAAGAACGCGAAAGCTATGAAGATTCAAAGTTCATGAGCTTGCGTTACAATTGCGGCGGTTACAAAGTGAAGTTGTGGGGTGACTCTATATGGAGATGGGACCTTTGGGGGTTTGGGAAATTTGTCACTCACTGTAACAGCTGCAAATTGGTTGGGAACAACCAAGCTAGGTTGGCAAGGGTGGCCAACTTGGATGGATTGGTTGGGAAGGGACAAATGTCAAAGTTGGGGTTCCTATAGGGAGGGAATCTTTGTGCTTATGGGGTTTCCTTGGTTGGGGACTCTCTTGGGACCTTCCCTCTCATCCCTCTCTTTCTATCCCAACATTTCTCTTGCTCCTCTAATTCCTTGTGAGATTCTTGAACTTTGATTGAACTCTTGAGATTGAGTTAAGTTCTCCTCCTACAGCTTACCCCCTAGTGCGTCGAAAGCCATAGCGTCGCGAATACTTCATCAATCAACGTGATTCAAATTGGGAACGGTAGCTGAGATTAAGAGCTACAACATATCCAAGTTTCGCGACATTCCAACGGCTAGGTTTTTGTCGACGTCGTTTCTTGTGAAGACGACTTTTCTGTCCAGAATTTCGGATTTATATTTTGAGTAATTCTAGCTCCTAAGTTCACCTAGACTCTGTCCTTAATCCTAACAAGTGGTATCAGAGCTGTATTAAGGACGTTGAGAGGAGTCTACAGAAGTGTGAAGACCCTTCTAGACCCACCATGGCCTGTGGGTGTGCCTAAGTGGTGTTCTAAAGGTTGGATGTGTCTTCCGCTAAGGGAAACTCTGCCGAAATTTCGTGGACGCCGACACTTGTGAAAATATCGAGGGAGCTGAGTGTGGACAGCAAAGGGGGGCTGAAATTCGTCATTTCTCAAGGAGAAGATGAATGAGAGAGGAGGAGATGCTAATGGAAGAGGAGCTGTAGCTGAGAAGACAAGTGAGCCGCCGCCATCAAAAGTTGAAGCTTTGGATGGCTCCAACTATGAGGAATGGAGCGGACGGATGAGAAGTGCCTTCAAACGCTACAAGCTACTGAAGATTGCTGTTGGGGAAGAGAAGATGCCGGAAGAAGGCGAAGCACGTGAACGGTGGATTGAGAAAAGCACGGTGCTTTTCGACCTCATCCTTCAATCGGTCAACAAGGAGATGTTCGAGCACATCAAGGATCTTGTGGAAGCGGATGATTCGGGTCCAAGGGCGTGGAAACTACTACGCGATGTGATTCAGCCCAACACTCTCCTGATGGTGATCGTGCTCGAGAAGGAACTTGCTGCCATCTCCATGCGACCAGGGGACGATGTGAAGCCGGTCCTTGACAAGATCAAGGACACCTATGCAAGGATGGCAGCAGCGGGCAGCAGTGTATCTCAGCTGCAGCAGTGCACCAAGATCATCTCGGTGTTGGACAACTCGTGGGATAACCTCATCCCCACCCTCAACTCTCAGCAAGATCAATGGACACCTGAGTGGCTAAGGCAGCAGATTCTGCAGGAGGACTTCCGCAGACGCCATGTGGGAGGCGGTGCTGCCACTAAGACTGCTGAGGGGTATGGAGCTGCAGGGCGCAGCAGAGGAAGAGGGGGTTGGAGAGGCCGAGGCCGTGGGAGAAGCTTTGGCAGAGGTAGAGGCCGAGGTGACTATAATGAGGGGCATGGGAGCTCCAGTGGCAGGGGGAGTACCAGAATGGAGGGCACCTGCTGGTACTGCAAGAAGGTCGGGCATCCTTGGTTCAAGTGCTTCAGCAGGCTGGAGGGATGGTCACCTCCAGGCATGAAGCCGCCAAGTGGTGAACGCGCACAAGGTGGCGCTGTGCAAGGCTCAGGTGCACAAGGTGAAGGTGCACAAGGTAACGCCTATCCTGGGATGTATCTCATGGTTGAGGATGTGCATGGGCATGAGGGTGATGTGGGATCTGTCGGAAAGGTTGTGATGCACCCTCTCATGCACTGGGTGATTGATTCGGGTTGCACCAGTCACATGACTCCACGGGCAGATTTGCTTGATGAGGTAAAACCCCCTGGGAAGATCAAGTATGTGGCAGCAGCGTCAGGTGCTTTGCTCCCTGTCATTGGTGTTGGGAATGCCAAGGTTAAGGGAGCAAATGGGGAGCTTGTGGGGCTTGGGAATGTTCTGCTGGTTGAAGGCTTGTCTGCTAACCTTCTCTCTGTGCGACGACTGCAGAAGAGCAAGGCCGAAGTGACATTTGGACCAACCAGCTGCCGTGCTAAGCTTGGGAAGAAGGTGCTGTGGAGTTTGGAAGAGGAGACCAGCTGCATCAAGGACCTGTGGCAGCTGCCCATCATCCCATGGAATGGGAAGACTCCAACAGCAGCAACGGCAGCAGCGGCAAAGGCAACAGCAGGAGGAGATGCAACTGCACCAACTGATGGGGTCCTGGAAGCAGTCAAGAAAGTGCAGCAGCAGCAGACACATGGTGAGGTGCTTGCTGGTGTGGATGCAAGTGCGGCATGGGCTAAGGCTTCACCAAGGAGTGGAGAGGCCGATTGGGAGACATGGCATGAGAGGCTGTGTCATGTGAACTTCCCTATGCTGCAGAAGTTGGTGAAGGATGGGAGCCTGAAGGGCTTGGAGGTGAAAGGGGGAGTGAAGGAGATTGGGAGCTGCCCTACATGCTTGGAGACCAAGTTCTCCAAGTTCCCCTTCAACAGCACTACAGGACCAGCCAAGACCCCACTTGCACTTGTGCATATGGATGTGGTGGGGCCCACAAGAGCCCCTTCCCTCTCAGGCAGCCGCTATTTCTTGACAATTGTGGATGACCACACTCGGGCAGTGTGGGTTTACCCTTTGAAGAGCAAGGGGGAGGTGGCAGCGGCTGTCCTTAAGGAGTGGATGCCGAGAGCTCAGAGGGAATGCGGACACAAGGTGAAGGTGATCCGTAGTGACAATGGTGGGGAGTTCATTGGAGCTGATTTTGAGGGGGAGTTGAAGAGGAAGGGGATCCAGCATCAACTGACAGTGCCCTACAACCCGCAGCAGAATGGCGTGGCTGAGAGGTTCAACAGGACCCTGCAGGAGGGGGCACGCACTCTCCTTGGGCGTGCAGGGCTACCTGATCCGTTTTGGGTGTCTGCACTGAGGCAGGTCGCCCTTGTGAAGAATAGGGTGCTGGCTACAGTTGGAGATAAGGAGTGGATCCCATATGCCAAGTGGTATGGGAGTGCTCCAGCGGTGAACATGCTGAGGGCATTTGGGTGCATGGTAGTGTTTCATGTGCCTAAGGAGAAAAGAGGGAAGTTGGAGGCTTCTGGAAGATGGGGTGTGCACTTGGGGATTGCAAAGGATCACAAGGGATGGCTTCTATGGGACTTGACCATCCAGAAGCTGACAGTGTCAAGGGATGTGAAGTTTCTTGAGTCCCTGTACTATAAGGAATGGAAGCAGCAGCAACAGAAGCTTCCATCTACACCACTCATTGTGGAGGCAGATGAGTTGCAGCAGCCTTCAAGGCAGGTGGAGGTTGCAGTGTCTGAGGAGGAGATATCTGGGGTGACTGAAGAAGGGGGAGCAGCTGAAGTGGAGCAGCAACAGCAACATGAGTCTCCACCTCGAGTTCCACACCCGCCTGAGCGACCTAGGAGGGATGTGCGCCCTCCTGTGAGGCTGACCTATGGGGGAAGAGGCAAGCCAAATGTGGTGCAGGCTGGGAGTGTGGTTGAGCAGATTGAGGAAGATGAGATCGCTCACTGCTACTGGGCACCAATCCCTGAGCCCAAGACTCGAGAGGAGGCCTTGAATGGACCAAATGGGGAGAAGTGGAAGGCGAGTGAGGATGAGGAGTTCGGGTCCCTAATTGAGAACGAGACATGGGACCTGTGTGACTTGCCTCCTGGAAAGAAGGCAATCACTTCCAAGATGATCTACAGGCACAAGTATGGACCTGAAGGGGAGCTGACCCGCTACAAGTCCAGGCTTGTGGCAAGGGGGTTTCAGCAGACAAAAGGGAAGGACTATGATGAGGTGTTTGCTCCTGTGGGGAAAGGAACAACACTGAGGGTGCTGTTAGCGATAGCTGCACTCCTGGGATGGAAGATACGGCAGATGGACATTGTGACTGCTTTTCTGAATGGGATCATTATGGAGGAGGTGTACATGAAGCAGCCAGAGGGGCTGGATGACGGGAGCGGCAGGGTCTGCAGGCTGAAGAAGGCCATCTATGGCCTTAAGCAGGCGCCTCGTGCATGGTATCACAAGTTGGAGGAGGCGCTGTTGGCTGGGGGTTTCAAGAAGAGTGAGTGTGACCCCAGCCTGTTCCTGCTGCAGGAGAAGGATGAAATCCTCATGCTCTTGGTGTACGTGGATGATATCCTTCTCTTTTCTGCATCAACTGCTTTGCTGGACAGTGCAGAGCAGATGCTGGAGATGCAGTTCAAGTGTTCCAAGATGGGTGAGGTGAAGTACTACTTGGGGATGCCTGTGGAGAGAGATGTGGAGAAGGGTGTGCTGAGGTTGCACCAGAGGAAGTACTGTGAGGGGCTGGCTGAGAAGTATGGGCTGCAAGATGGGGGAAAGCCAGCAACACCACTACCTTCGGGGTTCACTGTGGAGCCATGTGCTGATGAGGAGGTAGTGGGTGATAGTGACAGGAAGCTGTTTCATTCGATGGTTGGGTCGCTGAATATTGCTGCAAATCATACACGGCCTGACATTGCATTTGCTACATCACGATTGGCTAGTGTGGTCTCACGCCCTAGTCATGAGCAGCTGGAAGCGGCCAAGAGGTTGGTCCGCTATGTGAGCGCTACGGCATCAGTGGGATTGGAGTACAGTGGAGTGAGGCAGCGGTTGCAGAGAGGTGCTGCAGATGTGAAGAGTGGAGAGATGCTCTTGAGTTGCTATACTGGCGCTAGCTTCAACTCAGTGAAAGCGGATGGCACCAGCATTGGGGGTTATGTGTGCTTGCTAGGAGGTGGTGCTGTGAGCTGGCGCAGCAAGAAGCAGAATGAGGTGGGATTGTCCTCATGTGAGACTGAGTACATGGCCTTACACCATGGGGCCAAGGAAGTAGTGTGGCTAAGGCGTTTGTTGGAGGAGTTGGGAGTTGGTCAGGAGAAGCCGACAGTTGTGTTTTGTGACAATGAGTCCGCTGTGAAGCTCGCCAAGAATGCTTGTCTGCATGGGCTGACAAAACACATAAGGCCTAAGTGGCATTGGGTGAGGAGACTCCTTGATAAGGAGGTGCGGCTGGAGATAGTGAAGACCCATCAGCAGGCAGCAGATATTTTCACCAAGCGTCTGGCGGAGGCGGATCATTGGAAGGGCATGAAGCTTGCTGGGATGAGTGTGCATTGAGTATGCATGCTTGAGATGTTGGTATGGTGGATGATGGTTGGCAGCCAGAGGGGGAGATTGTTGTGTGATGTCATCATATGCTATCACATTCTGTCTGCCTCCCATCCCATATTTTTTTCAACTTGCATGTGTGGTTTGAACGTGTGCAAGAATTTGTGTGTGATGTGTTCTGGAGTTTGGGAATGTGTTTTGTGTTATTTTGTTTGAGCAGGTTTTTTGTGATGATAGATCTTGAGAAGATCTTTCCGACGCAACGAGAATCCCTTCAATCGGAGCAAGAACGCGAAAGCTATGAAGATTCAAAGTTCATGAGCTTGCGTTACAATTGCGGCGGTTACAAAGTGAAGTTGTGGGGTGACTCTATATGGAGATGGGACCTTTGGGGGTTTGGGAAATTTGTCACTCACTGTAACAGCTGCAAATTGGTTGGGAACAACCAAGCTAGGTTGGCAAGGGTGGCCAACTTGGATGGATTGGTTGGGAAGGGACAAATGTCAAAGTTGGGGTTCCTATAGGGAGGGAATCTTTGTGCTTATGGGGTTTCCTTGGTTGGGGACTCTCTTGGGACCTTCCCTCTCATCCCTCTCTTTCTATCCCAACATTTCTCTTGCTCCTCTAATTCCTTGTGAGATTCTTGAACTTTGATTGAACTCTTGAGATTGAGTTAAGTTCTCCTCCTACAGCTTACCCCCTAGTGCGTCGAAAGCCATAGCGTCGCGAATACTTCATCAATCAACGTGATTCAAATTGGGAACGGTAGCTGAGATTAAGAGCTACAACATATCCAAGTTTCGCGACATTCCAACGGCTAGGTTTTTGTCGACGTCGTTTCTTGTGAAGACGACTTTTCTGTCCAGAATTTCGGATTTATATTTTGAGTAATTCTAGCTCCTAAGTTCACCTAGACTCTGTCCTTAATCCTAACATGCAGCACGACTGATTCAAGTCTCTTCTGCGATAGCAACTTTGGTAGCGACGAAACCGGATGTGAGAAAACATGTTCCCATGACGCCACAGCTGCAGCGCCACCTGAGCTGCTAGCTGTGACGTCAGATCAAGGGACGCTAGATCCGGCGTCAGAACCAAGGCTAGAGCTGGTAATGTCTTGTCTGGCTTCGCCCGATCGAGTGACATTAGTATCGGCAACTCCAGATGCTGCAGCATCGGTTGCTGTAGCATCAGAGTCTGCAGTATCAGATTCAGTGTTGCCAGTTCCAAAGGCTGTTTTCTTAGCTAGTTGCTCGAAGGCAGCAGCTATGAGGACAGCAAGCGCTGCACTTCCGCTCTGCCGTTGCGGATCCCCAAACTTAGCAATGAAGGAGCACATCGTGAAAAAGGCAGGGGCCAAAAAAGAGGCAGGGTAGCTTTTACTGCGAGAAAACGTCGGGAAAGCAACCTTGCGAAAGTGACGGAATCATCATTGACATCAGGAAACACAGTTGAGACATTTCGGTATATGTTACCATGCACCAAAATGTTGCGGAATCGTCACATTTTGGCATGTGCCCGAATTGGTTGATCCGATAAGGGCATAACGGTTGCGTCCTGTTGCATAGTGAACATATTAGCCCAGGAGGGAAAGTGCCAGAGAAGCCGGGCGGATGGCATAGGTAGATCTCCTCATGCAGACTGCCCTGGAGAAACGGTGGAGAAGTCCAATAGGTGAAGCTCGTAGTCGCGCTGTGCTACTACGTCAAGCAGTGCCCGAAGAGTAGTCATCTTCGGGGTCGGGGCGAAGGTCCGAAAGAAGTCCGCACCCTCGCACTGACTGAAGCCTCTAGCCACGTAGCGTGCCTTGAACATAGGTGGCTCTCTAGCGGGGCACTTCACCTTGAAGAGCCATCGGCCATCAACTACAGAAAATTCACCCCAAGTGGGGGAACTGCGTCGACGTAGGTGCCGGTGGATCTCCAAGATGCCATCTCCTGCTCCATGGCATTTATCCACTGAGAGGCCCAAGGTCCCGAAGTTGCCTCAGCGTAGGTGCGAGGGGTCGGTGTCACACGATCGAATGTGTCGAGGAAAGATTGCACTATCGATTGGTACAAGGTGCTTTTATACTTCCAGAGCGCATCACGTAATCAGGTTTATCCTATCCAAAGGGAATAGACCCTTCTAGAATATAGAATCACCCTGCCTATGGCCTCGTGAGGCTATTAGCTTTACGGGATTACGGCAGGATTACGCTAGATATAGCGCGTCAGTACATCCCAAGCCTGGTCGGTGATATTATTATAATAGCAGGATAAACCAAAGGATAATGGAAAATGGAGAATAGGAAACCAAATAAGATGGGATAAAAAGAGAAATGAAATAGGAAGGAAATAAGGAAAGGCCAAGTGGTGTAACGGGGTCGTACTCTCACACTTCCCCCCTCAAAGCTGGGTGGTAGAAGTAAGACCCTGCTTGACAAAGTAGTCATGTAGAGGACGACGGGCATTACCCATGTCGGACTCAGATACCCAGCTGTCCTCAGAAGGAGCATAACCCTTCCAACGAATGAGAAGCTCCACGGTACCATTCCGACGACGGCGGTGTGCAAGCACGGACTCGACCTCGTACTCGGGTTCATTCTGGACGAGGACGGGCGGCGGCGGCGGCGGTTGGCGTCCAACGAAGATCGTGTTCGGATCGCGATAGGGCTTCAGAAGTTGGACATGGAAGGCATTGTGAATGTTCCAGGTAGCTGGCAGGCGTAAGCGGAATGTAACAGGAGTGTCCTGTGCTTCAACGAGGAAAGTCCCGCAGAAACGAGGTCGAAGTTTAGATGGGAGACGGCTGAGGTCAAGGTTGCGGGTGTCAAGGAGCACCTGGTCTCCCACGGTGATGGTGTGGTCGTTGCGATGGCGATCGGCCTGGCGCTTCTGTTGCTGTTGAATGTCAAGGAGGCGTTTGTGGGTCCGATCCCAAAGCTGATGCATGGTTGTGATGAAGACGTGTGCCGGTTGGACTGTTGCTGAGGTTGTCGGTTTCTGTGGTGTGAGTGGGTGGCGTCCGCAACAGAGGAAGAACGGCGTCTGTCCAGTAGCGGCATGTGTAGCGTTGTTGTAAGCAAACTCTAAAATGGGCAGGTGCAGGTCCCATTTGGAGATCTCGTCCTTGCAGGCTGCTCGGAGGAGTTGCTCAACAATTTGGTTGAGGCGCTCGGTCTGTCCGTCGGTCTGCGGATGGTAGGTGGATGACATGGCGAGTTTGGTCCCGAGTAGAGACATAAGTTCCTTCCAGAACTTGCTGGTGAACTTGGGGTCTCGGTCGGAGATGAGTGTGGTTGGAATGCCATGCTGTGAGATGATGTATCGAACGAAGAGTTGTGCTGTTTCTTCGGTGCGTGCTGTCGTGTGTGTCGAGATGAAGTGTCCCATTTTGGAGAACTTGTCGATGATGACAAGGATTGCGTCATGACCGCTGGTGGTAGGCGGTAACCCGGTGATGAAATCCAGGCTAACCACTTGCCATGGTTGTTCTGGGACAGGAAGGGGCTGCAGTAGTGCGGCTTTCTTCTGCTTGCTGCTCTTCATCCGTTGGCAAGTAGCACACGAGGTGACGAATTTTTGGATGTCGTCTGCCATGTGGGGCTTGTAGTAATGCTTTGCAATACCAGTGAGCGTCTTGTTGCTACCGAACTGTCTTGCGTATAGGACATCATGGTATTATTTGAGTAGTAACTGGCACAAAGGAGGGTAATTTGGTACCCGGATTTTCGTTGATCCTTTCTGGTACGCAATGTCACTGTCCCACTGAAGTAGGTGTCGCTTTTCTGCCAAGGGGATTTTGGGGTCGAGGGAGTACCCCTGTGTGAAGAGTCCCTTGAGTAGTGGATTCATCCCTTCAAGCTGGATGGAGGCAATGTCTGCAGGCCGGCTGAGGGCGTCCGCTTTGTTTTTGTGGCCGGGCTTGTACACGATGTCGTAGTGGAAGTGTGTCTCGAGGAAGTCGATCCACCGGACCTGTCTCCTGGAAAGGTTGGGTTGTGTCTTCAGGAATTTCAGGCTGCAGTGGTCGGTGTAGACGGTTGTTCGTCGTCCTTCGAGATAACATCTCCATGCTTTGAAGGCGAGGACAATAGCAAGGGCCTCTTTGTCGTGTATCAGGTAGTTTAGTTCTGCCCCGTGTAGTTTCTTACTCAGGTAAGCGATTGGTTGCAGTCCATTCCCCTGGTCTTGCATCAAGACTGCTCCCACTGCCTGGTCGCTGGCATTAGCTTCGATAACGTAGTCGCGTTCGGGATCTGGCAAGATGAGTACTGGTGCGGACGTGAGTGCTTGTTTTTGCTGCTCCAAGGCTTCTTGGTGCTTCGGCTCCCATTTGTAGTGTGTGTTCTTCTTCAGCAGATTCGTGAGTGGTGCTGCGAGTTTCGCGTACTCTGGCACGAACCTGTTGTAATAATTAGCAAAGCATAGGAACTACTGCAACTCCTTTACGTTCTCGGGTGTCTTCCACGTACGTACGGCTTCGATTTTCTTGGGGTCGACGTGAACTCCTTAAATGCTCACGACGTGTCCTAGGAATTGGACCTTCTCAAGGGCGAATTCGCTCTTGGACAGTTTGACGTAGAACCGTTCCCGTCGAAGAATCTCGAAGACGCGTCGCAGGTATTCGACGTGCTGCTTCATGTCGCGCGAGTAGATGAGGATGTCGTCCAGGTAAACCACTACGCATTCGTCCAAAAGTGGTCGTAGAATGTGGTTCATCTCGGCTTGGAACGTTGCCGGTGCGTTGGTGAGTCCGAACGGCATTACCAGGTACTCGTACGATCCGTACCGAGCTCGGAAAGCAGTTTTGTGGATAGAGTTGTCCGCCATTCGTATCTGCTAGTATCCGGACCGCAGATCTAGTTTGGAAAATACCATAGCTCCCCGAAGCTGATCAAGCAGGTCATCAATTCGTGGTATCAGATATTTTTTCTTGATGGTCTGCTTGTTGAGAGCTCGGTAGTCGATGCACATGCGCAGGCTTCCGTCCGGTTTCGGTGTGAAGAGCAGTGGGGCACCGTATGGCGAAGTGGATGGTCGGATGAGTCCTTTGGCGAGGAGATACTCGATCTGTTTTTTCATGTCAGTCAGCTCCGTAGGGCTGAGCCGGTATGGTGCTCGGAAGGTCGGCTTCGAACCCGGTTCCTCCACGATCTCGTGTTGATGCGTTCGGTATGGCGGTAGCTCGTTCGGAAGATCGTCAGGAAGAATGTCTTGGAAGTCCTTCAGCAATTCTTTGATTTTTTTTTTAGGTTCCGAGGTCTTCTCTCCGTTGTTCTCCACCTGTGTTGCTATCGCCAGGAACCCGTTGTCGATTCGCTTCACGTCCTTCTCGAATCGTGCGAGTGTCTCAACTGGGATATCTCCAGTATCGTCCCAGTTGGGTAGTTGGACTCTCCTTCCATTGTTGTAGATGCTTGCAGTGTGGTTCACCCAGTTGATCTCGGGGTTGAATCTTTTCAGGAAGTCTCGCCCGAAGATCAAGTCAAGCCCTTTGATGTTGGTGATGGGGAGTGCAGGTCTCCAGCGCAGTGGTCCGATTTGTAGGTGTAACACTGCTTCGCCGTGCACTGGTAACTTGCTGCCGTCCACCATCGTTGCAGAGAATCCTGAAGGCTTGTACTCTTCCCGAAGTCAGTCGATTACTGCCTTGTCGTAGACGGTGTGCGATGCTCCGCTGTCCACGAGTGCTTG